ATAATGTCTCCGTCTCCACCAGTGACTGAAGAGACGAACAGAGACGAGGTGACGTTAAGATGCTCTGTGTGGACGTATGAACGATGTAAACACACAGTGAAGTGGATGAATGGTGGTCAAGATGTGGACAAAGACAACGAAGAAGTGAAGACATCACCGTCTCTCTGCTCCGCCTCTCTGTCCTTTAAGACTTCTCACTTCTTTTACACATCAAGCTTCACTTCATTGAAGTGTAAAGTGACCGATGGAGACAAAGTGATGCAGTTTTCTCCCTCAGGTGATAAAACAGGTGAAAATATTCTGATGTCACTAAAATTTACCTTTTTAATGGATTTCATTTATTTAATTGTATTGTGTTCATTTGTTCAGGTGAAGACACAACAACAACTGAAGAGGACACAAAAGGAGGAGACACTACGAAAACTTCTATAATCAGAGAAGCTTCAGCAGAACCACAAAGTAGTGACTCTACATGTTTGTGTCTTCATGTATGTAACACCATAAGTTTTCATTTACAACAGAACACAGAACATCTGTATTGTCTTTGCAGTTTGGGTCTACGTCCTTTCGGCCGTTGTTCTTGTTGCTCTCTTGATAATCAGCGCGTTTGTCGTCAAATGGAAGATCAACAAAGGTGAGAGAGGAGATGAAACTCAAACACACTTTAAGAATATTGTGTTTCATTGTTTCAGCTTTAAACCAACGATTTGTCTTTTCAGGCAACACAACACGGACGAACAACAACGATGTGAGTTTAAAAAACTGATCCTCACCATTCTTCTCAATTTAATAGCTGAGATCAATATTACAGTCTTGTAGTAATAAGTGATCGTGAAAAGTGCCTTAAAACGTAGTCAATTAATTCCTTAATAAGCTAAAAACAGCATTACAGAATTCTGTCAGCGTGTGAGAGAACTGATCTGTGAGATGCTTCCTGTCCAGGTGCCGACCGCCCCCCCGGCTGCAGAAGCCCCTCTCACGGTGAGGTCACACGCTGCAGAGACACACATGAGTAAACACATACGTTTGGCCACATCAGCGACAACTCATGTGGGCCCATGTTGTGTACCAGTGGAGCATTACGGCGAGCCGGAGCGCTAATTAGCAGTTAGCTCTGCTCGCTAGCTCGCTAATCTCACCAAACTTCCATTCCACAGCGGTTAATAAGAGAAGAGAAGAGAATAACCCAATAGTTTGTCAACTGTACAAAACAGTCAGTTCAGTTTTGAGAGAGAGAGAATGTGCACCAAATATAAAAAGAGAAGTTAGATGATGCAACAGGAGAAAAAGCGGAAGACCAACCCTCCCCCCCTAAAGAAACCCTTCTGTCTGCTGTTAGGATGTGTCCATGTCCCTGAGCGGCCATGTTGTCTCCTCCGTGCAGGCCGGTCCTGAAGACGGTGTGTCCTACGCCACCATCAGCTACACCCAGAAGGCCGACAGTAAAGCCCAGGTGAGCTCTCTGATTGGTTACCATGACCACACACACGTTGTGTTGCACTGAATGCATGGTGCGCTGTGTTGTTTTGTGTCCTGTGCTGTAAAGTCTGATGATGATGATGATGATGATGACTGTGCTACACCACTGAAGCTGCTCTGCGCGTCGCACTACATCGTCGTTGTGCGTTGCGTCACCTCGTCCTGTTGTGTAAATCACGTTGTGCGGTTTCCTGTCAGGGTCGGAGTAACCATGGCGATGATGCGGTGACCTACTCGACCGTGAAAGCTTCCTCCGCTGATCCCAGCAACGTCTACGCCAGCATCACCCGACCACACAAACCCAACTAATGTCTGCTTCTCTCTCTATCGAGGGTAAATATGCAGTAAATGTGGACAATATATTACACATTGAGCTTGATGAACCTGCTGTCAGGCCCTTCATGGTGCTCAGAGGTTGAAGTGCTTAAGTATTTTGCCTTCTTTGTTTCTAAAACACTTGCTGCCTTTCTTTCATCGCTGAGAAATAATGGATCAAAATAGAGCAATTTTGCAGATTTTCTCACATTTCTTCTTTTATTGTTTGATATGAAAGGATTTTTCCATTTGCAGCTCCTTTTATCAGAATATTTCAGGGCAACGTGTTAAACTGAAAACTGCCAGGATTCAGTGTCTTACTGTGTTAGTAAGAGTGATTTGGTGCACACTAGAATTTAAAAAAGTAAGAAAGTCACAGGACATAGATACCATATATCTCTTTTAGAAGCTACACATTTAGTAGAAAGAGACACAGAGATGCTTCAGGCTTAAAGTCGGTCAAATTTGTCTTCATTGATTATTGCATGAATTATTGGTCTGTACACAGGGATCCAATGTGTAACTATATGATCATTTAAATGCATTATGTGATGTGAATTGCCATAACAGTTTACGCGCCAGAGTCAAACTATAATTTAATATTGTGAAATGCTTATATTATATAGCTTGAGGCTTGAAATGAGTTTTTTCCTCTAAACGCACTGTGATGTTTGTGATTTTTTTAAACTGCAAATAAACTGAACTAAAACTAAAGTAAACTCATGGAAATTAATATTCCTTTTTAAATCTGCAGGTGAGCAGCATATTTTCAAGATAAATAATCAAACAGTGGCTACTGTAATGAAGGGCTTTGAATGCAGAATTATTGCTGTTTAGGAGGAGAAAATAAAACAACCAAGGAAGAATTAGTAATCCGAGCACCTTTATTGTGAAAACTGCTGGATGAACCGGAAGTGGACGTCAGATGACCCAGAATTGGTTTCCGTCGGTGTGATGTTGGAAGGATTGTGAGTTCCTTGCGGAATTTACGTGTCCAGCGGAGATAAACAATCTTTTTTTATTTGATACATCCTCTGTTTTGAAACGACGGAGTGAGTGAGAGCTGCTCGGTGAGTTTAAAACACCGAATGAAGACTAAAAACCAACCGTTGTTGCGATGCTAGCTAGCAGTAGCTAACGTTAGCTTGGGTGTCAAATGTCCGCAACAACAGCGGCTGTAAACGCTTGTTACCACCGTTAAACATTGTTAAGCCTTATAATTGCGTTGTTTTAGCTCAAATATGAGCAACAAACGCCGACAAATACCGGGGTGTGTGACCCAGTGTTAGTTTTGTGACGTGTGTTTACGTTTCACGGCACTCTAGTTAGCTAGCTGTTAGCATTAAGCTAGCTGTGAGCCGAGCCGAGCCTCCGGGCTTGACACGTTCCCTCCTGTGTTAGATGTGACTCGCCCGTCCGTCGACCATGAGTAACAGCCACCCTCTCCGGCCCCTGGCCTCCGTGTCGGAGATCGACCACATCCACCTGCTGTCCGAGCAGCTGGGGGCCCTGGTGCTCGGCGAGGAGTACAGCGATGTTACCTTCGTGGTGGAGGGGAAGCGGTTCCCGGCGCACCGCGTCATCCTGGCAGCTCGTTGCCACTATTTCAGGTGAGGACGCCCACAAACATGAATGAATGGTTTATCGTTTAACATCAATGCTAGTTGTGTGCACATGTGGTGTTTCATACTGCATATACATGTGACACTATACAACTTTGAGACTGTAACAGTTAGTATTATTATTCATTATGTTTGAGATGGTCCAAAGCTCAACATTGTGGAGAAAGTGTGTGTGCATTGACTTCTGGCCCCGTCCGGCCCCTTTAGGGCCCTGCTGTACGGTGGGATGAAAGAGTCCCAGCCCCAAGCGGAGGTGCGCTTGGAAGAGACGCGGGCCGAAGCCTTCTCCATGCTGCTGAACTACCTGTACACGGGTCGGGCCAGCCTCAGCTCGGCCCGGGAGGAGGTGCTGCTGGACTTCCTGGGCCTGGCTCACCGCTACGGCCTCCAGCCGCTGGAGGACTCCACCTCCGAGTTCCTCCGCACCGTCCTGCACACCAACAACGTCTGCCTTGTTTTTGACGTGGCCAGTCTGTACTCTCTGAGCGCGCTGAGCGCGGCCTGCTGCGCCTACATGGACCGACACGGACCCGAAGTGTTGAACTCTGACGGCTTCCTCCAGCTGTCCAAGGTGAGAGGGTGGACTGGATTACAGAGAGGTGTAGGAAGAATTCCAATCATCTGGTTCAGTCTCACGTTAAGGAAGCCTTCTTCTGTCCGTGTAGGGAGCTATGGTGGGCAGCTGATATCACATGTATGCTGTTGTTGTAACATAAATCTGACATGCATGTAGTGATTTCATGATCATGAACATAAGCAACAAACAGCTGTTTTTATTTCTCACAACTGGAAGGAAATGGTTGAGATGCAGACTGTGGAAGTAGAAAAAAGGCAACCGCAGAGAAACTTTCTTTTTTTTGTCAGATCATTTGATTTAATGAATGCTTTTGGCGTGTAAAGAGCATTTCAATTAATTTATTAAACTTTCAAGTTCAGCTAAGCTCATGACGCATAACCGACAAATATCTTCCACCTTGTTTGCAGCGCTGACTCGATCTCGTTCCCTTACCTGTTTGGATGCAACACATACTGATAACAAATTTAAAAGTACCATCTTGTTTATTCAACAATAAAATTCTTTAATTTCCGTGGAAATGAAATTCTGTAAAACAAGCAGGTACTCGCTTGTCATCACTGCAAAAGTTATGTTTTTTTTTTTAGTTTTAAACTGATCAAAGTGAGGTTGACGTTCCTGCTTGCAGACCGCTCTGCTGACCGTGGTGAAGCGCGACTCGTTTGCCGCCAGTGAGAAGGAGATCTTCCAGGCGCTGAGTCGCTGGTGCCGGCATCATGAGGAGGGGGCCGACACCCAGGAAGTGATGTCGGCGGTGCGGCTGCCGCTCATGACCCTGACCGAGATGCTGAACGTGGTGCGACCGTCGGGCCTGCTGAGCCCCGACGACCTGCTGGACGCCATCAAGACGCGCTCGGAGAGCCGCAACATGGACCTCAACTACCGCGGCATGCTGAGTGAGTGAACTCGCCGTGTGGTTGATCTCTGCGTTATTCCCGTCCTTCATGGTTCCTCCTCTTGGCTTTCAGTCCCGGAGGAGAACATCGCCACCATGAAGTACGGCGCCCAGGTGATGAAAGGGGAGCTGAAGTCGGCGCTGCTAGACGGAGACACACAGAACTACGACCTGGACCACGGCTTCTCCAGGCATCCCATCGAGGATGACGGGCGGGCCGGCATCCAGGTGAAGCTGGGCCAGTCGTCCATCATCAACCACGTCCGCCTGCTGCTGTGGGACAGAGACAGTCGGTAAGACGGAGGAACAAACT